AGAAGCAAACTGTATAAAGACCTCTAGAAACCTGGGAAACAGTTTCCGTGAACCTTTGTGTGAATAACAGATGATTAGACACTGTGGAAGAAAATGTCAATTAACTGCAAGCTGTTACCAATAGAAAATATGTAAAATGAGATACCAAGAGAAAAGAAAGACTTAATTAAAGTGAACAGTGCTAGTGATATGTGGGATAATTACCCATTTCACATTGAACTTGAGTTCCAGAATTAGATGGTAGGAAAAGTAAACAGAAAAACTGAAGTAATAATGGCCAATTCCCATCACCCCCATATATTATGAAGAGAATAGTTACCTCAAAAAATAGTTGTATCAAATCAGAAAATATGTGAAAAATCATTGTTCCTTTAGTCAATGTGAATATTTTCAGTTTATTGGCTATAAGGATTCTCTAGAAAATTTTCATTTTTCAAAAGTAATAAACAGATTTTTTATTTAAATTATGCATATTTAGGCATGGGTACCATAGTGATAAATAATAATAAGATGAGGAACAAGACAAAAAGAAAAAGATGACAGAAATTAACATTTTTATATAAAGTACACCTTGCCCTTTGCTAAGCATTATACATGTATTATATCATTTAGTCTTCCTGACAACTACATGAGGTAGTTACTATATTTTCATTTTTCAAGAACAAATTATAATGTTGAAAGATTGTGAAATTTATTGGCAAGCACATTGAAGAAAGTGATTAACTGGAGATTTAGACTCGCGTCAGTCTGACTTCAGAAGTTCCCCATTAAACTCTTCTAACAATGCAAAGCATGAATATCACTTCAGAGTTTATTTTTAGCCCAAACTTCCAGGTTGAAACTAAATATTCTAGTATTTTGTTCTTATTTCCTTTTTTTTTAATGATATTTAGGCTCTTAACTATGTCTTTTGTATATGTAGACAGTTTTCTATAATCAAAATCAAACTTCTGTTTATTTACAAAAATAACCAGTTTGCCACCTTGATTCTCAAAATTTTTCTTGAGTAGTATAGAGATGTTTATTTTTAGAAATAAAAGCCATAGTTAATATTTGTGTTCATGTATTTTCTCTAAACAATTGAATGAATGAGTTTTATATGTAGAGAGATGCATCTTTAAGGCACTTCTTAAAAACTATAAAGCATAAATGCTCTCACTAAATAAAAAAGAATTATCCTATAAATTTTCTTAATGACTATGCAAAACTTAGTAGCTATTGTATTTCCAATGTGCTCTTTAACACAAGAGAAATAATTTTTTTATATTTCAAACTATAAAGATAGATATATAATATTTAATTCTAGCATATCTTTATTAAAGGGCACTTTTTTATACCAAATGTGTTGGTGATAATACAAATACATTAATAATGTGCCATTCAGATTTTCATCAGAAATGGAGAAATATTCTGTTTATATCAGCATTTCACAGTAGCTAAGGTATTGAATCAACCCAGATGTCCATCAACTGATGAAAAAGAAATTATGGTATACATGCACAATGGAATGCCACTCAGCCATAAAAAAGAATGAAATATTTTCTTTTACAACCAAAAGGATGCAATTGGAGACCATTATGCTTAGTGAAATAAGTCAGTCTGAAAAACACAAATATGACATGTTTTCTCTGATTTGTGGCAACTGATATATAGAATACAAAAATATAATGTATATGAGTGAAACTGACATTTTGAGATTTGATTACTGTTTATAACACTTGTCTATGCTCCTGAAGAACAGCGGTCTCTCTACTTACTGCTTGTTGAATTGTTTATTTAGTGGAGGGTTAAGCTTATAATTATAAAGTAAATTGAAAGTATGTCATTGTAAAAATTAAAAGAAAAAAGAAAGGCAGGAGGAGGGCGGATCGGAGAAAGGGAGGGAGGCCAGGTGGGTGTGACTATCATTATGCATTTAAAACTATATATATGAAGTACCTGAATTATGTTTCCTTTATATTAATTTCCTTTATATTAATGAAATGGTAAGAAAAAAATTTGAAACGGCAATGTAAAAATTGTTAAATTTGTGTTTTTTAAGGAGACATTTGAAAAAATTTTTGAGTTTTTTTTAAGCTTTATTTATTTGAAAGTTAGAGTTACAGAGTGAGAAGAAGAGAGAGAGAGAGATCTTCTTTCTGCTGATTCACTCCTCAGATGGCCACAAAAACCAAGACTGAGCCACTCCAATGCCAGAATCCAGTAGTTTTATCTGAGTCGCCCATGTGGGTGGCAGTAGCCAACACAGTTGTACCATCTTTGCTGCTTTTCCCTGGCCATTAGCAGGGAGCTGGATTAGAAGAAGAGCAGCCAGGACATGAACTGGCACCCATATTTGGTGTCAGCCTCACAGGCAGCAGCTTTACCCGCTCCACCAGGCCAGCCCCCATTTTTTTTTTTAAGATTGATTTATGGAGTTGGCGCTGTGGTGTAGTGGGTAAAGTGCCAGCATATCATATAGACACTGATTCAAGTCCCGGCTGCTCCATTTCCATTCTGGCTCTCTACTGTGGCCTGGGAAAGCAGTAGAAGATGGCCCAAGTCATCTTGGGCCATTATCAGGGTCTGCACGTGGGACACCATGAAAAAGCTCCTGGCTCCTGGCTTCAGGTCAGCCCAGCTCAGGCCATTGTAGCCAACTGGGGAGTGAACCATCAGATGGAAGACCTCTCTCTCTCTTACTCTCTCTTGCTTCTCTCTCTCTCTCTCTCTCTCCCTTTCAAATAAATAAAACTTTTTTAAAAAAGGATCTCAAAAACATCAATTTATTTGAAAAGCAGAGTTACAGAGAGGCAGAGGAAGAGGGAGAGAGAAATGAAAAATTATTTGTGATGAAGATAAATCCCAAAATGTATCTGTATTCTTTCCAATTTTCTCTTGGTAGTGTTTCTATTTTAAAAAAAATGAGAAAATGAAATGCAGATATGGACTACATTTTAAGACTGAGTCCATATTTTTGTCTGCCTTTGATATATAATTTTTTTTACCTCCAGTTTTCAAAAACAGTTAACAAAGTAAGCATAAGCTAAAACAACTTGTGTCATTCCTTTCAAAAAAACTCATAATTTGGCCAGTTTTTCAGGTTTGTTTTTCCACTGTTCCCTTTTGCCCAGCTCACAATGTATGCCAGCTAAGCCACTTACTTTTCCTGCCCTCTTGGAACAAGGATTCCCAAACTTCAGTGCACATATTAGTTAATGGGAACTTTTGCTAAAATGCGTTTTGCTGTCCCATCCAGCTGGGTTTGGAATCTGAGAATCTGCTTGTCTCATGCATTCCCAGGTGAAGCTGTGCTGTTAATCCAGACACCACCCTTTGTGTAGCAGGTGTTTAGAGTATGTCACGTCTTGGTGCACGCTCTTCTTTTTGCCTTCCCTCCTTAGCCTCTGAGGGTGCTCACAGGCCTTCTTCATCAGTACTCTTCTCTGTTGGTTTCCATCCCTTCAAGAAAAGCCCAGAGGGATGTGTGTTGTAGCATAGAGTGTAAAGGCACCATTTGCAATGCCGGCATCCCTTATGGACACCAGCTTGTGTTCTGGCTGCTCCACTTCCAATCCAGCTGCCTGCTAATGGCCTGGGAAAGCAACAGACAATGACCCAAGTGTTTGGGCCCCTGTAACCGATGTGAGAGACCTGGGTGAGGCTCCTGGCTTCTGGCTTCTGCCTGGCCCATGGATGACCATTGTGGCCATCCAAGGAGTGAATCAGCAAATGGAAGATTTCTATTCATCTCTCTCCTTCTCTCTCTAACTTTGATTTTTAAAATAAATAAATTAATCATAAAAGTAATACTTAAAGAAAATTTTATACATGTGAGATTGTTCTCCCAAAGGCTCATCCTTTTTGTGTTCCTAGTCAAGTATCTTCTAAATTTGGTGAGCTATTTTTTATTTATGTATTCCAATGTCAGGCATAATGCCTGACCCATAGTAAATATTGAATGAGTGTGTGCTATAAAGTAATTTAAAAGAATGGAAGGAGGGAGAGAGCAAGGGGACAAGAATAGGTGGTAAGAAAGGTAAAAAAAAAAAAAAAACAAAAAAAAAAAAAAAAAAAAAAAAACAAAAAAAAAAACCAAGAACTAAGTACTATAACATCACGCTTTATTGCAGTTCATACCTCTTTCCCCAATATACAAAGGTACCATAGGGGAAATAACAGGAATTGAAGCCTTCATTGGGTTTAGAGAGGGGGTAAATTGGTCTTAAATTATATTGCTTGCTTTTATTAAATTTATTACATTTATTTCTAAATGGCATGTGAAAATTGATAGATGATTGATGAATAGAAAGAAAATATTTGATAGATAAAAAGATGATGGGTAGATGGATGGACGGATGGATGGATAGATTTTTCTTTGTTTTTTATGTCACAAGCACATTTTGCAATTTGCTGGCTAAGAAAAAGATTGAGTTTTCTTCCTTTTAATGAAGCATAATGTTTATTAGCGAATCAAAGAAGCTTCTCTCCTTCTGGTGTGAAATGCAGTTATGATAATAGAAAAAACCTTGTTGGGATTAATCCTGAATATTTAAGAAATGAAATCCTGATGTTTTCTAGATGATTACCAGTGCTGGCAGGACTTCTGCCGCTTTTATTAATTAGGTGTAGTGTTTGGCCCCAAAATATGCCAGGTGGGATAAGGTCAAGTGGGAGCTTATCATCACAGCATATAATATACATACTGCATCAAGTTTAAACAGCATCTTTCAGATTTTGGTTTCATTAAAGAGTAGTCAATCCTTGTTTAAAGTACATGCATTACATTTTATTTTTACTTATGACCCTGGGGTTTAGCAAAAAATGCATCATTAACACTTTTTAAGACTTAGTCTACATGTGTGCATATATATATATATATATATATACACAGACAAATATATGTGCGAGATACACATATGTAGATCTTCGTTAAATGAATTATTTTCTTCAAAATCATTCCATTAATACTAATTATTAGCTAATTCCAGCCAATGATAGCATTTTTTTTTCTCTTTCAGGGTTTAAACTTGAAAAGACTGGAGGCAGTGCAAGGAGGGAGAGAGGTAAGAAGGTTTACTGTGGGAGAGGTGAGACAGAAGAGAACATGGTTACAATGACGTGGTGATGCTGATTTTCTGTGTTGAGGAGGAGGAGGATGTACTGAAGGGCATTTTATGATCTTAGATTCCCTTTACTCTGGCCAAAGCACGTTTTACATATGTCTGCATGAATTTATTGTTAACACTTATTCCTCTGAAGCTGAAAAAAATAGTGTGTCTCTGGCTAGGCAAGCAGTATGTTTGTTAAAATGGATTTATACAGCTTCAGGGCCCCCCAGAGGGCCAGAAAAGCCTTTTACAGCCAATGTTACTGTGCAATATTTAAAACGATTTACTGAGAAATTAACAAAATTCTAACAGTGCTATGACATTTGGGATCCTTCACTCTCCTATCAAAGGCCATTTGCTTATTCTCCCAGGCTGGGACACATTCTTAGATAATGTGGAATTGCTGTGGCATGGCTAGCAGTGTTAGAACTTCTCTAATTTCTTTAATGTATTGCTTGCTCCAGATGCTTTATAAAAAAGGAAACTTGTAATGAAAGCGAACCCAATACCATATCCCATACATTATGCACATTAGTATCTTCCGGTTCTGTTTCAAAGCGAAGACTTATTACTGATTAAAATTCTCTCCATGCTAAACGTTAAAGGTTGTACTTTGTGCTCCAGGTTGCTTGAAGGTAGGGGGAGGGTGGAATGTTTAATTCAAGAAATCAATACTTTCTTGTTGCACAAAAAGTGATTCATTTTTAGTGATATTTATGTAATATATTTTGGACAAATGTAAAGGCATTTTGTCTTCAAAAATGAGAAAATAAATCTTACTCCCTTCCCTGTTTGTGGCTTCTCCTGATTCAGACAGATTTCTGGTCTGTTCAGGAAGTGGTGTTTGTCCACTTTCCTTGTTGTTTTAATTTCCAGTGGTGTGTTTTTAGTATTTGACATTTCAGTTACTGGAAAACTTGTCATATAAGAATCCTCCATTTTGCAGGACACAGAACAGTGGCTCACGTCAGCAAAGGGTGAAATAAAGATAAACCTCTAAATATTTTTTATGTTGTAGGAGAGCAAGGTAATAAGGATAATGGCCATCAGTGTGACTGGGGAGGGGGATATATACTCCATAAAGAACACCTCAGGGTCTTTTAAACATGACCAATATGGGTCTACTTAGCGGAAGAACTAAATGCATTCCCTCTTAAGTGGAAGGTCACATGTGATCAGGACCCTTACAGTTTAATCCATTGCTTCCCACTTCTGCTTGAACTGTGTGTCAAAAGATGGAAGTTTTAAGTTCACATATCATACAATGGTGTTGCCAAATTGTGCCAAAATTTTTCATTTTGTTAAAATTGTATAAATGTTCATGTTATTGGAAAAAAACACTAAAGCACTTTTGTATTGAAAAAAGCTGCTTAAATTTTTTTTGCTTAGTTTCTCATTTCATCTGGTCTTATTTTTTTATTATAAATGCAGCTATGGGAAAGGGATAGTAGATAATGTGTTTTACATTTAGGAAATATACATTTTTCTATAAACCATTTTACGTGTGAGCATATCAAATTATTAATGACTTACAATTTAATGTATTCATCTGAATAGAGATGCAAGTTTTACTTGTTCTCTCTCCCTGATTTTAGTGGGATAATTGTGAAGAAGTTTCATTTTGCAAATTAAGCTAATCTAATAATGTTCTCAGAATACTTCCAATCTATGGATAGAAAGTACATGTGGACTGATAAAATCTAACGACTGCATTACTTCTGGGATACCACTGGGTTACATAGCCATTGTTTTGTTCAGTTGAACTACTCATTTTAGCTTTCTCTGTGACTATGACTCCTAATATATTCTATGGTGAGGAACTTCAGGGAAGTGTGAGATAATGTGGTGGAATATTCTATCAAGTCTCACTGGTAGATGATCTGTAAACAAAGAGTGCATTACTATATTAAGAGCTCTGTGTTTTCTCTTGCTTAAGAAATTTCTCTTGCTTAAAAATGTATCTCACTGATTCCCATTTGCTCTGTTCTATTCTATGTGTGTACTACAAAGATGTACAATGTATTTCTGACTCTGTTAAATTGAAATGTATGCCTTAGAAAACTCTTACTGCAGACTCTTAGAATTTCTCATTGAAAGGCTATTATGATTGATAATGTTTAATGACACAGATTGCTTCTTTAGATGAATTATTTTGTCTTAATTCAGATGACAGATATTCCCAAAAGGTGTTGATGGATGTAATACTAAGGACCTATTATCAAATACTCGTAAGATTTAAGAAGTGTCATTTAAATTATTCTGTTTACTTACTGAGGTAATGACAACTGTTAGAGTGTGCATGCGAAACTGAAGCAGGCAGTACTATGCTATTTAGCTAAGTGGTAAATACTATTAAAAAGCTAATTGCAAGGCATGAAGGCCATATTTAAATACCACATACTTTATAAAAATATAAATTAAGAAGAAATGATTAAAATGCAAATTACTTTTCTGAAGGAAATTGATATAGATACCACCTAAATTGCTTATATTATTATGAAATATTTGAAAATAGAAATTAGTAATATTAAAAACTCTAGGTATGTTAGTAATTTTGCATATTTATATGTGCATAATATGTGTATAAATTGAGGGTGCTGATCAAAATAGATAATATAAAGCTTGTTTGAAAAGGGAGATTAGGGGAACACTATACAATATGTGATTATTTAACAGACATTTCCAAGGGACTGAAAACAAAACTCCTGCCTCCTGTGGAATTTTTCTACTCACAAAAAACAACAACAACAACAAAAACCTCAGAGAAAATTCATTGTGTAAGACAAATGGATGCATCATTACATTTCAATGGATTTCCGATCTCCCATAGTTTTATTGTAAAGTGTGGATTCAACCAAGGTATTATCAGTGCACTTTTTTAGATGTATTTGTTTATTTCAAAGGAAGAATGAGAAGGTAGAGAGAATGGTAGAGAAAGAGAGAGAGAGAAATATTGACTTAATTTTCCATGTGCTGATTGACTCCCCGAATAGAGGCATGTCTGGGTCAGTCTGAAGCCAGAAGCAAGTAACTCCATGCAGATCTCCCACATTGGTGGCAGGGACCCAAGTACTGGGGCTGTCTTCTGCAGCCTTCCCAGGACATTATCAGGAAACTGGACAGGAATTCCAGCTGGCACTCTGGTATGAGTATCCAGCATGGAAAGCTGTGGTTTAACTAACAGTACCCTAATACCAGATCACAGTTAATTATCTAAAAGACTGAACAACATTATTATTTTAAATAGTATAAAATACTGATTTGTTTAATTATTGCAGACAGATGTGAGTTTGTATATGTCTATACACTAATTTGAATAACAGATTGTCTCTGATTCCACATTACCTGAAAAATGCTAAGCTGTCAGTATTCTCAATATATCACAGGTCTAAGAGCACACAATGTGTGACTTTATATCATGGATCAAAAGAACTAATTATTATTTTTAAAAAGTGTAACTGATTCAATTTTATTTTATTTTAAAATTTTTATTAATATAAAGGGAACAGGTTTTATATATTTCATAGATAGAATTCTAAGAAGATAACCATCCATCTCTTCCTCCCTCCCTGTTATTCAATCCCTCCATCCTTCCTTTTTCTTCCTTTAATTTTTGCAATACTATAATTAATAGAACTAATTATTATGATCAGATGTCTAAATAAGGATTAATAATTTAGTCTAAAAATTCTACTTAATGTGATAAACTAATGTGAGAGCCATTGTTTATTGGAATTTTTGGATTCCGACTATTATTGGAAGTTAGAGGCTAGGTAAAAAAATGCAAATTTGTAATGGTAAAAGATATCTTTTATGTATTTGCAGAGCTCAGATATCCCAAGATAATGAACAAAATAATAGAGATAATGTTCTTCGCCTGAAATTTGAAGATGAGATTAATATTATATCTTTAGGAAATAGGTTGTAAATATGTAAAAATTAGATTTTAAAAATGAGCACTTTTGATGATTTCCAGAAGCATTCTTTAGAAATATGACCATATTTAGTTATTTATTTGCTTGAAGTGCTTGATTGGTTAATACTATTTTCTGAGTCTATTTTATATTTCTATAGATCAGTTACATGAAATAATGATCCAAGATTTTTATTCATGTAAAATATAATTTAATGTATAATATTCTAGCAAAAATATTTTATTCTCATAATGGATTTTGTGCCTTGCCAATAGCCTTGTATAGATTTTTCATTGTTCACACATGGACAAGTTATTTATTTATATTTGAAGTTGAAAGTCACTTTTAGATCTGGACTCTAAAAGGGAAGAATTCAAGAATAAACTAAATTACATTCTGATTTTTAAAATAATTTATAAATCTAGCATAGCATCATGGAAATAATTTCAAGTGGAACAGAGTAAATGTCACCATTAATTTCTGTTTCTGTTTATAAATTATTTAGAATTATTAAGCACATATTTTAGAACATAGCTATTAATTAAGATAGGAACATTCACTCCTACTTTTCCCTCGTCCAACATACCACCGGATAAAATTATTTTTGAAGGCATGAATGTATAAAAGTATGTGGCTTCTAAGAATAGAACTCAAATTGAAGAATGTGTGTTGTTCTTGGAAATAAGAACAAGAAGTGTTGATGTGCTATTTGTTCTCCTAAGGTCTGATATTTTATATAAATCTGAAATTATAGAAAATAACTATACACATTTTAAAGTTTTGTGTGTTAGCTAAAAATCTCCTGCATGAAACAATCATGAATACCAGTTATCTTTAATAATTTTGTGATAAAACTTGCTTCCATTTGCATTTTTTTGTGTAATATTCAGAATATAGTATTTTGGAGTTTCCACTTTTGTTCAACTGTGGTTATTCCATTCTTGATTTCTTTAGAGTTTTGTAGTTAAGACTCTTTTATAACCTCAGGTTTCTTTGAATTATATATTAGCTAATATTATATTCTTCTTTAAGTTATAAAGG